CATTCTTGATGTCATGTGGTCGGTGGAGGTAGAGTCGGAAGTTGAGAAATGGATCGATTCCCTGCCGGTGAAGGAGTTCGCGACCGTGCTCGCAGCCGTCGCTCGCCAAGCCATGCGACGCTGCATCGCTGAAGGACACACGGCCGAGGAGGACGACTAATGGGTCGCACGACTATCGAGGAACTGCGCAACCGGCGGGTCAACGCCATGACCAGCGCCGAGCGGGCCGAATTCGACGAGGCGCTCGCCACGGCCCGCCTGGCCATCGACGTCGGCGAGAAGGTCCGAGAAGCCCGCGAGGCGGCCGGACTCAGCCAACGAGAGCTAGCTGTGCGAATGTCCACCAGCCAAGCAGCGGTGGCTCGCCTCGAGGCCGGCGGCACCAGCGCCACACTCACGACCCTGCAAAAGGCCGCTGCCGCGCTGGGCCTCGAACTCACCATCGACCTCGCTCCCGCACACTGACAACGCTGTCCGTCAGCTGACGCGGTGGCGGGCTCCCTGGAGTCGACGTTCGCAATACGTGCCTCGGGCACCATGAGATCGAGGTAGATGCCGTCGGGACTGCCCCATCTGCCGGGGACTCACGCAGTGTGAGCCGCGTCGGATCAGCAGTTCGTCCAGCAGAGGCGAGTCATGCGATGGTCGGCTGGGTCCGATGGCGAGGTCGGCGTCGGTGGTATAGGGGGCTGCGGCATCGAACACGTTCGGCTCGCGGTGTGAGGTAGACCGCTTGGGCGCCGACGAAGCACGACTGAGTCGAGATGTGCGGCGAGGGCGTCGGCCGCATCTTACGGCAAGACGCGACGAGCGCACACGTCATGAGGGTCAGGCGCGCCAGGCATTCTCGTTGTCCTGCATCCAGCGGAAAGCAGTTCCTGGCTTGTGGCCGGTTCGCGTCCCGGTCTCTGTGAGCAGATCACAGCAAGCTGGCTGGGGCGACGCATCGAAGCTCACCGCGGGTGACGGGCGGTCAAACACGACAGGGTCGAACGCTCCTGCAGCACGACGTTGGCGCCCACGTCGGACCTCACGCAGTCGAGCCGGTCTGTGCGGTCCTCGTAGGCATCGTCCACGTCGATGGTGGCGGTTCTGGCTGCTGCGCATCGGATCGATGCTGGCGCGCGCAACGCCCCGTCGCGTGCTAGTAGCGGAGCCCGGGCCCCGTGAGCGGCTTCTCAAGCGCACGGCGTTCTCGCGGGGTTCAAGGACGAGGTCGTTGCGGTCGTGGAGGCTGTCGGGTTCGTAGTCCTGGGCCCATCTTCGGATCGCGGCACCCGCCAGTTAACACCAATCACACACACAACAAACACAACTCAACACCACAAAACAAGCAGCACCACAACACCCAATCACAACCGACACTCATAAACAACTCACAACACACCACCCCCAACACCAAACACACACACACACACCCTCAACAACAACACACACCAACACCTCCAACCAAAACCCCACAACCCACACAAAACCCAACGCAGCCACAACCCCACCTTCACCCACAACCCCACACAACCACCCACACCCACCATCCCCCCCCACTATCCTCCCCCCCCACACACCAAATAAAAGTGCAAGTTCGAAAAAAAACAAAACCGAACACGCAACCCAGACACCAACCACACACACCGACACATCCAATACACACAACATGCATCCCAGACACAAAAACCCACACCCCCCCCAACCTCCAAATCAAACTCAAACACACATCACTCCCACAACAACGACGCCCAACAAAACACACAACACACAAACACACGCACACACAACAACCGACACACAACACACAAAACCTCAACCCACAAACAAACAACAACAAATCAAAAGCACAGTCAAACTACACAAACCGACCAACACAAACTCACCCAAGGCACCACACACCACCCACCCACACACACCCACCGCACATCGACCCCCGTCACCACCCCCCCCAAGCCAACCCCATCCCCCCCTCCCCACACACACACAATCACCCCACCACCTCTACACAAACCAAAACACTCCACCCCCGCCAGCACCAACCAAAACGACACTCACACAACCAACCACACAAACAATCATCAGAAAAAAAGCACAACACACACATACACCACATCACAACACACACAAAAAACACCATACTACTAGACAACACTAAAAATCACACAACAAACACAAAAACCAAAAAACTCAAACTACACAACAAACCACCACAGCATAACTCCAGGAAAAAACAACCACCCCTCACAACACTCCCACCAAAACCGACTCCCATACACAAACTCACACGAACTCAACAAACACAACGACGACACAAACCAACCAAAAAAAGACAAACAACACCACACAACACATCAAACCGAAACAATCATCTAAACCCCCCCACACACAACACCTGCCACCCATCCCAGCCCACCAACTCCAACCCACCAAACCTCCCCTATCCTCCCCCCCATCTCACGTAACTCCCCGCACCCACCACAAGCACCCAAACCACACACCAACCAACCCCCGACCCTTCCCCAGATGTGCACCCCCTTTCCCACAACCCCTCCCCCCCCACCCGCACACACCCCACCACGCCCGCCTTCCTATTCCCACCCCGCCCCCCCCCTCCCCCCCCTTCCCCTCCTCCCCCGGCGGACCCCCCCCACTCCCGCCCTCCCCCCAACCACCTCCTCCCTCGCCCCGCCCGCGCCCCCGCCCTCCGCCCCCCCTCCGCTCCCCCGGTACACAACAAAACACAACTCCCCAAAACTACAACAACAACAAACGCACACAAATAAACCACCCACACAAACCACACAAAAAACAACACGACACAACAACACACACACACAACACTCAACACTCACAAACCAACCACACACACCGCCCCAACACACACAATCACTCCCACCCACACAAAAAACACACACAACCATTCACCACAAACAACACCCCCACAAACACAACACATTGTCAATCCAACGCCCCCCCAGCACCGTGCCCCGCCTCTCACGGGCAATGACTCCTCTCGCTCAGCAGCTCCAGCACCCCGAGCGTCGCCGCGGAAGTGCCCTGCGCCCGCAAGCGAGGTCTCGAACCCCGAACGTGGCGCGCTGTCGATGATCGCTCCTACGTCGCGCGCTGCCCCTCTGCCTCGCAGCGACTGCAGGCTCGTCGTCCTGGGGCCAACGGGTCCCCGGTCGTCGCCCGACGTGGAATGAAGAGCCCGGGTTCGGACCACCTCGAATCCGACGTTTGCCAGTGATGGTCTCATATACCCCGACGCCGAGACTCTCCACAGCTCCCGTGAGCCGGCGACCGATAGACGAAGCCACCACTGGGACCGCAGCCGGTGCTTTCTGGCTGGCCATCACTGAGACTGCTGGGAGCCCTTCCCACATTGTCGGGGCTCCATTCCTGCTCTTGACTTCCACCGCGAAGAACGGCGTTCTCCCGCTCGTGAAGTGATGCCCGCAAGCAGGTCGAGCCGGGTCGCCGTCCAACGCGCAACAATCGTGCTCCGGCGCGCACGACCAAGCGCCGCGGGCCACGCTCGGCTAGGAACTGCTCCACCGGGGCGACGATGAGGATCTCACGAGGCGGAAGGTTGTTGACACTGACGAACCCCTGATCCGGTCGGTGATTCGGAAATCAACGTTTCACAATGTTAGCGAAATCATCCGATTTCTGAAACGCAACGCGGGTGGCGCACCCTCCGCGGAACGACGATTGCCCTGCCGCAATATCACGACAAGGCGATGGACGCCAACTACCCACCTCGACCGCCTTCTTGGGCCGGGTCGCTACAGACCCCGTCCCTGAGGAGGTCGCCGACCTGCCGGGAGGCCGCCGGATTGAAGCCATTGCCTAAGCGCCTCCAACGCAGTCCCAGCGCCGGACTGACGCCGCCCCCTGACGTATCCCGCGCGGCCATTCCCTTCCGCACCGCGAGCTCGACCGACCGCCTGCTTACCGATCTGTGGCAAGTCTCCTCTGGAAGGCGCTAGATATGGCGAAGACCCCGGAAACCGTGCCCTCTTGCGCAAACGGCCGGGGTACCCCTTATTGGTGGGCCTCTCCCGCCGTCTCGGGCCGTGCCAGCGAAGACCACGACCACGAAGCGCAGCCTTCGCATTGAAATAGCAGCCCCGCCATTGCGCCCCTACGGGGGCGAGTCGGACGGCGGGAGGATTGGCCACACATAGCCGAAGGAGAAAGACCCCCATTGGGTGGGCTACTACGGTGTTCCTGCTGTCAGGCGATTTGTCGCTTGGAGTCTCGCTTGCGCACTACTGGCCGGGACCGTCCAGACACTTCGATAGTATTGGTGCTTCTCAAAGACCAGGGGTTGGTCCAATGGGCGCCGGACCCCGGCCGCCCGAGTTCGACGTCGTTAGTCTAGACGGAAGCGATCAGGGCCGGCTATGGTGCGTGTGCAACCGACGTTGTCGGCCCCGTAACAGCGCCGCTTCCCGCCACCATCGTGTTGGCAGCCCAAGTCCGAAGGGTGCGCACGTGGTAGGTGGCCAGCTACAGGCCCGACAGGCGGCCAAGGGGCGCTACAGGCGCTAAAGTAAGCTGTGCTTAGCTTCGCGGCGCTACTGGGTCGGTGCCGGCCTCGCCCCGTCGGCGGGCTCGTCGGCAGTGGCGCCAAGGGCCCGCGCCAGGTCCGGGACGCTGGCAGCGATCGTGTCCCACACCAGCTTGTGGTCGATGTCGTCGTAATCGTGCGCGATGAAGTTGCGCATGGCGCGGGCCTTGGCCAGCGGCAGGTCGGGTCGTTGCGCGACGAGGCGTTGCGAGAGTTTGCCGGCGGCCTCCCCGATGATCTCCAGTTGGCGTTCGGCGGCCGCTCGGACCAGCCAGTTCGAGTCGAATCGGTCGCGTCCGGCCTCGACGATCTCCTCCAGGCGGGCCGCGGCGAGCATGGTGTGGGATATGAAATCGCTGTCGCTGTCGCGGCCGCTCACAGCGTGATGGCTCCTCTAGGATGCCGCGGTGCTTGTCTTTGAGTCCGCCCGCTGAGATCACGTCCACGTCGCCGCCGAGCACCTCCTCAAGGTCCAACTTGAGGCCCGCCAGATCAAACAGCGACGCGCCGTCTTTGAACCGGGCCAAGAAGTCATAGTCGCTGTCGTCGCTGTCGTCGCCGCGTGCCACCGAGCCGACCAGGGCTATCGAGGCGGCCTTGTTGCGGGCCGCGGCGGCGCGGATCGCCTCGCGGTGCTTCCCGAGAACGTCATCGCGGCGTGTTCCCACAAGCCCCACAGTAGGCGCTGGCGACCCACTGCCGGTGACCTGCCACCCACGTTCACGGCGACATCGCCTACGGTCCTCACATTCATCGCTCCACGGAGAGGGCCATCGCAGCCGGCAGGAGGCCCGAGTCCGAGGCTGTGGAGACCGACCTGTACACGACCATCGATGGTGCCTTCAGGTGCCTGATCCTGAACTTTCAGAGAGCGGAACGGAGCTGTTCATCATTGGGAGGCAGGTACCGACCAGCCATGGGGGATACATAGATCTGTTGGCCCTCGATGCTGACGGGCGCGCCCATGTACTCGAAAGGCTGTGGGTCCTGTCCAGGCTCACAGTCCACAAGGAGGACTCATTGTGAGACGCTACCGCGCGTCAGCATCCGAACCAGGCGTCGACGCCGCTGGCGCGGCGCTAGCTGGTCGAACTGGTGCTGGCGGGGGGTTGGAGCGTCGCGGCCGTCGCGCCGTCGATCGGCTGACAATGCAGCGGCACGGTCGCGCCGTCGCGTGTCCACACAGTGGCGTCGCCGGTCAATGGACCTCTCGCAGCTGTGGCGGTGTCGGTGGCGAGTATCGGCAGGCCGGAGACCGTATTCTCGAAGTGGCGGGCGGCGCGCTCAGTCTCGCTCACCACAAGCAGCGGCAGCGGTCGTCCATGCCATGCGCTCTTGCGGTACGGACCGAGCTTTCGATGCACTTCGGCCGGGGTCGTGGCCGAGCGCTCGTACTCGACGCAGTAGGCGCCGGCGCCGAACGGGCCGTCGTCGACAAGGATGACGAGATCAGGCTTGACCTGGGTGATATCCGGCAGGTTGATCTCGGCCCGCCATCCGCCGAACGCTTCGGCGCCCTCACGCGCAAACTGCACGACGAGCCGGTTGACGCCGTCGTTGTGCCGCAGCTCGTGCGCGCGGAAGTCGGGTTCGAGATAGGCGCCATGACGGCTGCGAACCACGGACGTGAGAATCCGGCTCAGGTTGGCCGCGCGTCGCATCCCGAGTTCAGCCAGGTACAAACGATCGTCGAATCGGGCGACGAGTTCGTACTCGACGAAGCGGTCCAGCGCGTCGTTGAACGCTTGGGAGGATCCGCGCACGAGCTCACGCAGCCACGCAGCCCGCATTGCGGGGAACTGGGCGATGGTCAACAGCGTCCGGTATGCAGTCGGGCCGTTGATCGCCCTGAGGCCGCCGTTGCTTGCGCTCCACTGGCGCACGCCTTGGGGGCGTCCGATCTGCGGGTGTCCTGCAGGATCCGAGATGCGGTCGCGTGACGGCACCACCTCCACAGGTTCGCTCCAGCGCCCATCGGCAGTGCAGATGAGCGTCGGGGTCGAGTGAGCCAGCACGCGGCGGGCGAGTTCGGGCAGCCCATGCGTCAGCGGCGACGATCACTTGCGCCGACGGTTCCACTGCCTGTTCGGGGTCCTCGTAGAAGACCCGGTTTGCGATCCGGAAGTAGTGGTCCGGTCCGTGGACGAAAGCGTCGATGCCCCAGAAGCGATGTGCGTGCTTGCGCCGCAGTATCCGTTCTGTGGCATGCAGTCCCGCGTAGGTGAACGTCACCCACAACGGCTCGCCGTAGCGGGCCACTGCGTGGTAGAAGCCGCCGTGCCGCAGCAGCCGGAAGTCGGTCATGTGCAGGTCGGCATCGATCGGGACGCCGTCGGGCGGCCAGGTCAACTGGTCTCTGCGCATCAGCCCCGGCGCGATCCGGTACACCGCCTCGAGCATGGCCAGGCGACGCACGCACACCTGAACGCCGCGTGCGGTGACCGTCCACGGCGGATGCTCGTGGAATCCTGATGGGATGTCGCAGGACGGGTCAGGCTCAACAAATGGAGCGAAGTACGGCTCTTCGAGGTGGGGCAGATGCTCGTGATCCGACGCGAATTGCCCTGTCGAGGCCCTTCCCTCGACCGCAGGGAGAACGCGCGCGATCCCTCCGGCACGGGCAATCTCTCGCGGGCTGAGATGCTCATGGTCGGTGGCGTACAGCCATTCCACTGCTTCTATGGTGAGAAACCAGCGATGCTGCGATCGCTCAACCATCCCTCGACGCACAGATGCGATCCAGCCCGAATTCCGCAGCGCGGTCAATCTCTGACGGGCAACATTCGGTTCGACATTCAGAACCGCCGCAAGATTCGCAGCGCTCGCGAGCGGCATCCGTCCGATGATCCGCAATAGTCGCCGCTGTTCGTTGCTGGGCGTCAGCTCCGTCATGGTTGACGGGTCCAGGCGAGCGATCGCATGGCAGCGTCATCTGAACGGGGGCGCGTTCGAGCCTGGAAGGGCACCGACCTGACGCCGTGGCCTGTAGTTATTGCTATTGCTGGCCGACGGCAGCGCAACGTTTTTCTCTCGACTGTTGCCAGCGAACGCCATTAGCGGCCGGTGCGGCAACGGGTGTGTGGTACAGCGAATCCGAGTCCGACAATTGCGGCTGGATCTTATTCAGTCAGTGAGAGAATTCAGCCTTAATTAGGCCAGAGTTGTGCTGACTTATTTGATACAATCGACGCATCATTTCTACTTGCAAGTGCCGGAGCAAAGCCATATACAAGAGCCATAGTTAACCCAATCATTCACAAGCATTTGTGAGCGACTCGGCGACTAACCGGCGTTCGCTGGCATCGAACACATATCTCGCAATATTCTTGCAATATATAGATATAGCTACCGAAATTACTGAATCTAAGCCAGTAGTGAATCTACGCTGTGTGTAGTCGTTCGTAATATACAATGATGGCAACGACTACCGTCGACACGACCTCCTGCGACATGCACACCATTCGAGATCACGGACCAGGCTCCGCTCTTAGCACGTCCGTAGATGTGCCCGACATACTCGATGTGCGCTGCGCCGCACTCTATGAGCGAGCAGCAGGCCGATAAGCGCTTGTGGGGATCGGTGTGGTAACCGACGAAGATGAAGGGATCGACGTTATAGTTCATGCCATGCAGGAGCGGCCGAGGTTCCTGGAGTGGTTGCCATGAAGTGGACCTGCGAGGAGATCCTCGACCACGCGGAGGAGCTAGCAGACCGCTTCGAGGCCTTCGACCCAGCCAAGGCCCAGGAGGTCTGCCGTGCCGCGAGTAACTGTCTGGTGCTAGAGCCGTTACGAGGCACGGAGTCATCAGATCTGCTCCATCGGTGTACGATGCGGGTGTTCGCAAGGTGCACTTCAGCCCGTTGACACCTCGGTCATCGCCCGTGGATAGCACCATTCGCTCCGACGCGGCTGCGGTGGCCGCAGCCAGCGCGTTGCTGGCCGCGGGGGCCGCGCCGCAGATCATCTCGGGTCCGCTGGCGCCCTACCTGCGGCTCGACTTGGGGATCAGCTCGTCCGAGCTGGGGCTGGGCTTGTCACTGTCAGCCGTTCCCGCGGTCGTGCTGGCAGTGTGGCTCGGGCGGGTGACCGACCGCGTCGGCGGCATCAATGTGGGCCGGCTCACCTGCATCGGTGGCTGCTTTTTCGTGGTGGCGCTGTCGCAGGCGCCCAGCACGGCGTGGTTCGTGGCGTTGCTGGCCGCAGCCGGGATCCTGCGGGTGCTGTCTGAGCCGAGCTCTTCGAGGATCCTGGTGGACTTCTTGGCTCGCACGCCGCGGGTTCTCGCTTTCGGCATTCGTGAGGCGGCGATGCCGCTGCTGGTGCTGGTGTCCACCGCGGTGCTGCCGGTGTTCGGCGACCGGCTGGGTTGGCGCACCGTGTTCGCCGCGTGCTCGGTGTTCGCGTTGACGGGCTTGGCGCTGCTGATGGGACCGGCACGGCCCCGAAAACAGTCGGTGCCGGTGGGAGTACGGTCCGGTCCTGCGGCACCGGTCACAGCCGGGCCGCCCCGCAACGCCCGCGATGATGTGGCCTCTCTGGGGTTGGGCTTTCTGGCGGCGCCGCGCTGCTGTTCATCAACCTGGTGGTGTTCAACGCCTTCGCGTCGCTGTCGTTCGTGGACGCCGGAGCCAGTGCCGACACCGCGGCGGCTCTGGTGGCGGCCTCGGCGGGGGGAAGCGTGCTCATGCGGATCGGCTGCGCTCACGCGGTAACCCGCCGGGATCTGGACGCTCCCAGGACCATCGCGGCCATGGCCGCGGTGGCGGTTGCCGGCTATGCGGCGATGGCCACGGGCAGCACGGCGCTGATGTTCGTCGGCATAGCGCCGGTCGTGCGGTACGTGCGCCGGCTGATGGACGCACGCTGACGTATTGCCCACCTCAGTAACGGTCGGGCGCTCGAGCGGTCTACGGTGGCTGAGCACTGGCGGATCGTGTCGACCATCGTTCTGACACTTGGCTCGCCGCGCGCTGGTGAGCACCGGTCGTCCGCGACACGGATGGGCAGCCGTAGATAAGCTCGTCCTGGAATGGGCAGGGTGGACAGCCCTGTGGCGCTGGTTCTCAGCACTTGCCAGCCGCTCCCTCATGTGGCAGCGGCCCACCGGGAGCAGCAGGCCGAATGAACCAGCGGCCAGGACATCGCAACTCGATCCTCTGCCGCGCTGTGAAGCCCGCCGGCTGCTTCCTGCGCCGCGCGATCCGCATAGGGCGCCAACCCCTGCCCTTATCTCGCGCCTTACCTCCCTCTCATGCGCTGATGCCCTCTGCTGTTGTGGATCATACGATCTCCCGTCCTGCTCACAGCGAGACGATCTCACCTCCAGTATTTCGTCTCTCGCTCCTCTCTCTCACCTTGCGGCGCCTCTGTCCTCGTCGGGGCGACCTACCACCTGCGCCGAAAAAGGCATACCACCGGCGTGCGCAATGCCCTCCCTGGGCAATGACAGTCGGGTATCAAGAGCCGCATGCGCTTAGCTGACCGGGAATTAGCGTCAAGGATACGCGCGATCATTCGTGGCGTTCAACCACCAGGTCGAGCAGGGCGATCTCGACGCCACGGAGCCCAGCATGGGGCAGCACCGGAACGGTACCGGGGGGCGTCCTACGTTCGCTCACGCGTCGAGAGTATCGCCCGCGAGACGGTTCGGTCCAGCTCGGACGTATTTCCGCTGCTGTGTTTGTGGCGAGCGGGGTGGCGTGTCAAGAAAAAGCAAGTAGCGCTAAAAATCTTCTCCTTCCATGCCACCACTGTGGTCCGGGCTCGGAGGTTTTACCATACGAGCCTCGTCTCCGGTCAGTGCGCCTGGCGCACGAGCCAGCAGCCGACCACGGGTGGCGGTCCTGCCGAGCTGCGCCCAAGCGAGTGCACGTTACACGCCTTCTGAGGTCCGTCGTCCAGGCCTTGTCGATGGCGTCGAGGATTGCCGGCTGTCTGCTGTTGGCTGCGGGGCACGTCCATATCGACGATGGAATGCCGCTCATGCACGCACTCCGTGCCGAGCCGGCCGGCTTCCTCGCGCCGCGATCCCGGCATAGGGTGCCAGCCTCGTGCGCTGGGTCAGGTCGATGAGCAGTCGATGCCGTCTCGCAGCAGGGTCCGCAACCTGCGGCGGCCTCCTTCCGACGGCCTCGCGCCCGGATACTCCCCCGCCGCGAACGGCCCGGATCAACCCAGTAGCTGTTCGGCATCGGCCGATCGCTCTCACCAGATGCGCTCATGTCTCGCGGAACCCTCCCTGCCGGAAATGGATCCGGCTCGGAGCCTCTGGCCTAGGGGCTCGCGGACGGCGGTCACAGTTTGGCAGCAATCTTCGCAATGGTTTCCAGTTGCGCGCCGTGGCGATGACGCCGAGCCGCTTCTCGAGGTACGCACACGACAGGGTCATCGCCTTGACGCCATCGGAAGTCCAGACGTATGCCACCGAGGGTCGCTCCGCCACGAGCGAGCCATCACCGCCCTAAGACGTCGCAGTAGTGTGAAGTTGTGGGCGCGTGGTTGCTGGCGATCGCGATAGCGCTCGCGCACGGGCTGCTGGCGGTGTTCATCATCGTGGGCGCTCCACTGGCCGCACTCAAGCCCCGGTTGATGAAGTGGTACCTGGTCATGCTGGTGCCGGTCGCGGCGGTGAACCTGCCCGGGCTGCCGTGCCCGCTGACGGTCTGGGAGAAGCACTTCTGGCGCCTCGCGGGCGAGACGCCGTACCGGGGAGGCTTCATCTCCCAGTACTTCGTGAAGCCGTTCTACGCTCCCGGTCTGAGCCCGGCGGCGGCGACGTGCTGCTGGTCGTCGTGGTGGTCTGGTGCCTGTCGTGGCTGCTGTACGCCGCCGTCGGCAAGGGTTCAGGACGCGAAGAGAGCATCCATCTCGGCTGACCAGTCGGCGCGCCAAGCCGCCTTGGTGGCGTCGTCGATCCACGCGGCGTCGATCCCGTTCAGCGCCATCTCCTTCAGCGTGTCGAGGTCGAGGCCCATCTCGCGGTGCAGGCGCACGTACTCGTCGCCGAGGTCGGAGACGAACATGGCCGGGTCGTCGGAGTTGACCATCATCTTGAGACCGGCAGCGGCCATCTGCTTTATCGCATGGTCCTGCGCGGTCAGGTCGCGCCAGATGGTGGTGTGCTCGGTCGTCGTCGGGCACACGGTGAACGGGATCTGGGTCTCTACGCAGCGGGCCACCAGGTCGGGATCGTCGACCACGTGATAGCCGTGGTCGATCCGCTCGCAACCGAGAAGGTCGATCGCAGCCCGCACATTGTCGGCCGGTCCGACCTCTCCGGCGTGCGACGTCCGGTGCAGACCATGCTCGGCTGCCGCTCGGAACGCGTCGACATAGTCCTCGGAGGGGAACCCGATCTCGTTGAAGTCCAGACCCACACCGATGATCTGGGGGTGGGGGTGGGCCGCCACCATCTCGACGAACTCGACTGCCCGGGCCGGGCCCAGCTCCCGGTTGATGGCCGGTATCAGGTTGCTCTCGAGCCCCCGCTCGGCCTTCACGTCGGCCATGCCCTCGAGCACGCCGGCGAGCATCGTCGGATACTCCACGCCCATCTCGAAATGCGACTCGGGGCTGAAGAAGAGCTCCACGTAGCGGGCTCCGCTGCGGGCGCAGCGCACGAGACACTCGTAGGTGACGCGCCGCCGGAAGTCGGCCTGTTCCTGGATCGACCGGCACACCAGCGAGTAGATGAGCAGGAAGTCGGCCAGGCTGTCGTACTGGTACAGGTCGGCGACCTGATCGTGGTGCGGGAGTTCGAGGGCGTGCCTGGCGGCGAGCTCCGCGAACGTGCCTGCGTCCACGGCGCCCTCGAGGTGGAGATGCAGCTCAGCTTTCGGCATCTGCCGCAGCGCGGTTTCTGCGTCCATTTCATCCTCCTGCGGATTGCAGATCGGCGACCTTGGCTCGGGTCGCGCCTCTTCCGTGAGGGTAAGCGAGACTCGCGCCCAGAGCACTATCGTCCGGGCGAGGAGGAGAAGCTGCGTGAGGCACTCGGCTCGATCACAGGAGACGCCGGCCACGCCGGTGCACCAGCCGGTGACCGACGACGATCCAAGATCCCCTCCCGTCCGGATTTGCAGATCCCGTCGCGGGCCCGCCTAACCGCCTACCTGGCCGCCGAGCACCTCGGACTGGTGTGGGTGTGCCTCACGGGCGATCCTGTCTACCCGCTGCCGGAGAACCCCTACTTCGGTGACGAGTCGTTCCGGCTCGTCGAGGTCGAGCCCTACAACTGGAACTGCGCACTCCCCCGCCGCATCGAGAACTACGTCGACTTCGGCCACTTCGCCTGGGTCCACGACGGCGTGCTCGGCGACTCGGACCATCCCGAAGTGCCCGACCACTGCATCGGCCGCCACCGCAACGAGCTGCGCTTCGACCACCCGCACATGGCCGAGCCCCCCGACTCGGGCAAGAACAAGAGCCTGGAGATCGAAGGAGCCGTCGAAGTCACGCTCGACTACCGGCTGTTCATGCCCAACACCATCCTGTTGGACCAGTACATCGAGTCGGTCGACCAGCGCTACCTGCTGTTCTTCAGCGTGTGCCCAACCGGTCGCAAGACCTGCCGGTGCTTCACGTTCATGGGACGCGACTACGCCTTCGACGACGCCACCGACCAAGAGATGCTGGACTTCAACGCGCTCGTCATCGGCAGCGACGTGGTTCGTCGAGTCCAGCGGCGAGGAGCTGCCCATCGACCTGAGCGCGGGAGCCTCCGATCGCAGGGCGACGTGTCGCCATCGCCAGTACCGCGCTGCTGCGCGTGATTCGCCATGACGACCAGCGACGGAGTGATCCCCTTTGACCCACATCGGAAGCCGCCGATTCGTCACGGCCACGCCGTTAGCCCAGAGGTGGCACGTACTACCGAGAGGGACGAGCTTCATGACCCGTGTTCCCGGCACCGGAGGAGACCAACAGAACCGCCCAGGATCGTCTGAATCATGGATAGAGCATGCAGACGGGACCAATGGGCAATGCACATTGCAGACGACCCATTGTCGGGCGGGACAGACCTAGTTGAGCTCGAACCACGTTGGCTGGTGGTCCGACCCGACCGCGTCGACGTCGATCCACGCTGACTCGACCCTTGATGCTAGGCCCGGCGTCACGAATCCGTAGTCGAGCCTCAAACCGACCTCGAATCCTCGACTCTCGTCGTACCAGGTGATTCCCTCGTCGAGGGAGTTGCCGGCCGCAGTCCACGTGTCCACGAGCCGGTCACCGGCGAGAGTATGGCCGTAGTAGTAGTCAGCCTCGCCGACGATGAGTGGATACTCGGTTGACGTTGGAGTCAGGTTGAAGTCGCCCATCACCACGAACTCGGTTGGCGCAGGGCTCTCGCCGATGCCCATCCATTCGATTCCGGTGACCGACGCCCCATTGAAGGGGACCCCAAACATGAGCGGCAGCAGATACTCGATCTCTGTTCTCCGTAGCCGGGAGTTGACAGAATCGAGATGGACTGAGTAGCACCGAAGAGGCCCAGACGGAGCATCTATGATTGCTTCGAGCGCGCCACGCTGTGCGCCGTGGGCATCGATGACCCGTACTCTCGGCAAGAGCAGGTTCCGACACGAGAGGATCGGCCAGCGGGAAAGGACCATATTGCCGAACTGAAGTCGACGATGCTCGACTGACCCATCGGGAGTTTCGAGCTCGCGTCAAGATCGACATTGGGGTCCGTATACCCAGTGATGCTGAGCGAGCAGCTCGCCTATCCGGGCTGGTTGATCCTTGTCAGGAGGCGCCTCGACATTGCGTACGACTTCCTGTAGTGCGATCACGTCGGCGCTACGTACCGCGTCGGCGATCCTCTCGAGGTCGTAGCAACCGTCCTTGCCCTTTGAGTACTGGATGTTGTACGACACGAACCTCATCAGGGGGTCCGTCGGGAAAGTGGACTGCGCTGGAAGGGTCAGGTGATGGCTCTGGGCTGTGGGCGACGCGGTGAGGTCGCCGTCGTGACCCGCCAATCTTCCGCGAGGCTCGCCGACGATCGACGAACCTTCCCGATCAGCGAGATGACACGCAACCCAGTGGTTGGGGGTGATCTCACGGAACTCGGGCACCTCAGCACGACAGCGGTCGACAGCCAAGGGGCAGCGGGTCGAGAACACACAACCGGGTGGTGGTGCCGCAGGACTCGGAACCTCCCCGACGAGAGAAACACGGGTCCGACTGGCCTCGGCCACGGGATCGGGTATCGGAACTGCCGACAGCAAGGCCTGCGTGTACGGGTGAAGCGTCGCCTCGAACAGAGTCTCGGTCTGGGCGAGTTCGACGATGTGTCCGAGATACATCACCGCGACTCGGTCGGAGATGTGCTCCACCATCGAGAGGTCGTGGGCCACGAACAGGTAGGCGATTCCGAACTCGTCTTGAAGATCAGCGAAGAGGTTGATCGTCTGCGCCTGGATCGACACATCGAGCGCGGAGATGGGCTCGTCGCATACGATCAGGTCGGGGCTGAGGCTGAGCGCCCGGGCGATGTTGATGCGCTGGCGCTGACCACCGGAGAACTCGTGGGGGTAGCGGGTGCGGTGGGCAGCACGCAGGCCGACCAAGTCGAGAAGCTCAACCACCCGGTCGTTGACCTGTTGCGTTGTCATCTTCGTGTGGACCCTCATCGACTCGCCGATGATTCGGCCGACAGTATGCCGGGGATTGAGCGACGCATACGAGTCCTGGAAGATCATCTGCATCCGCGGTCGGAGCTTGCGCAGCTCCTTTTCGCCGAGGCTCGTTAGCTCGATGTCGTCCAGCCAGACCCGCCCGGAAGAAGGGCGGTGGAGCTGGAGCACGGCCCGTCCGGTGGTGGACTTGCCGCACCCGCTCTCGCCGACCAGCCCGAGCGTCTCGCCGGCGAAGAGCTCGAAGCTCACGCCATCGACCGCCTTTAGCGGCTTGTCGCTCGACTTTCCCGGGAAGTACTTTCGCATGTTCACGACCCTGAGCACGGGCTCAGCAGAGTCCCTGGCCGTGGCTGGCGCCGCCGTCTTGGCGACGGGCCGGTCCACCTCAGCCGAGCCGCGCCTAGCCATGTCGTGGCGTCCCCGCCTCGATGTCGTAGAAGCACGCGACGTGTCGGCCATGGACCGGCTCGATCAGTGTCGGCACCTCGCTTCTGCAGCGGTCGAACACATGGGGGCAGCGATCCGCGAACGGGCAACGAGTCGGCTCTTCAGCGAGATCGGGCGGCAGACCGGGGATGCTGGTCAACCGGTCGGCTCGGTCGCCCATCTTGGGCAGAGCGTCTAGGAGCCCGATGGTGTACGGGTGTAGTGGCCGCGTGTACAGGCTGCCCACATCGGAGATCTCTACGAGCTTGCCGGCATACATGACTGCTACCCGGTCGGCCAAACCGGCAACCACGCCGAGGTCGTGGGTGATCCAGATCAAGGCCAGCCCGAGCTCGTCACGTAGGTCGTGCATAAGCTCCACGATCTGGGCCTGGATCGTCACGTCGAGTGCCGTGGTTGGCTCATCGGCGATCACTAGCTGGGGGTTGCATGCCACTGCGATAGCGATCATGACACGCTGTCGCATGCCTCCCGAGAACTCGTGAGGATAGGCATCGATGCGGCCCGGGGCGTCGGGTATCCCGACTCTCTCCAGCAGATGGATGGCGCGGTTGCGAGCCTGTCGCCTCGACAGACCGAGATGGGTGCGGATCACGTCGATGAGCTGGGTGGAGATTCGCATCGTTGGATTGAGGGAACTCATGGGATCCTGGGCAACGAACCCGATCTCGGCCCCTCGAACCCGTCGCAGCCGGCGCTGAGACTCTTGAAGGAGGTCGACCGTTCCGTCGCTTGTCTCGAGCGTCGCTGTGCCGTTGGATATTCGTGCCGGCGGCTCGGCGAGTAGCCGCAGCAGGGCGAGCATCGTCACGGATTTCCCGCTTCCGCTCTCGCCCACGATGGCCAGAGTCTCACCCCTGGCGACGGAGAAAGTCACGCCGTTCACCGCATGCACAGTGCCTTCCGGGATGTCGAACCGGACCTCAAGGTTCTTCACGTCGATCAGTGCTGACGCGTTCATTGCTTCACTCGCTGAGATCGAGGGTCGAGCACGTCGCGCAACCAATCGCCGAGCAAGTTGAGCCCGAGCCCGGCAAAGACGATGGCGACCCCCGGTGTGAGCGAGATCCACGGACGAATCGTGAGCACGCCTCGACCGGCGTTGATCATGTTGCCCCAACTCGGAGTGCTAGGCGGCACCGAAAGACCGAGGAATCCGAGGCCGGCCTCGTAGAGGATCATGGCCGACATCTCGAACGTGGCCAGCGTGGCCAGTGGGCCGATGAGGTTGGGCAACAGGTGCAGCCGCAGGATCTGGCCCTCCGGTACTCCGACATTTCTTGCTGCCTCGATGAACATGCTCTCCCGTAGCTTCAAGACCTCGCCCCGCGTCACACGGGCAAACACGGGAATCGACGTGAAGCCGAAGATGAGAATCACGTTGACTAGGCTTCGCCCGACGACCGCGGCAAAGAACACCACGAACAACAGGTAGGGCAGCGACAGGATCAGGTTGATGAAACCGACGATGACGGCGTCGATCGTGCCGCCTCGGTAGCCGGCGATCAGACCGATTGCCATTCCCAGACTGATGGCGATTCCGACGCCACCGAGAGCCACACCAAGCGAGACTCGGGTTCCGAAGATGATGCGGCTGAGAATGTCGCGTCCCAAGGTGTCGGTGCCGATCAGGTAGTCGTTGGAGCCCCCATCGGACCAAAACGGCGGAGTATTGGCATCACTCAGTGTCTGCTGGAGAGGATCGTGAGGAGCGATCCATGGAGCGAACGTCGCGAGGATGAGCAACATGACGAATACGAAGGCACCGAACATGCCGCCCTTGGACCGGCGAAGCAGCCGCAGGGCCTCACGAATCCGAGCCCGGAACCGCAAATCCCTTTCGATGTCGACTTCATGGCCGGTTTCAGTCTCGCCAGCATGGAAATCGGCGCCACCGGGAGCAGCATGATCAGTCATGTGATCCCCTCTCCGTGTGGCTTCGGTATCGTCGCCGACGCACCGTCCGCAGATGATCTAGGCCGAGGGGTCCGCGTCTCGCGCAACGTCCCCACTCTGATCCGCGGGTCGGCGACTGTGTACAGCACGTCAGCAAGAAGCGAGAAGAGAATAACGATGAGCGCGCCGAAGAACGCTATTCCCTGAACGAGTTGGAAGTCACGATTGCTCACCGCTTCGGCCAACAACCCTCCCGCGCCAGGCCAGGCAAAAACAGCTTCGATGTACAACGATCCACCCAGCAGCGCCCCGATCTGCAGGCTCATTACGCTGATGAGTGGAATGAGCGCGTTGCGCAATATGTAACGACCGTAGATGACTGGCGCTCTGAGGCCCTTACTGCGAGCGATGCGCACGTACTCCTCATTGACGATCTCCAGCACCGACGATCGCGTGAACCGCAGAAGCTGAGCCATTGGAAACAAGCCGAGAGCAACCGCCGGCAAGACTATCGAATCGTCAGGAATGGTGAGGAACCACATCGAAGTCGTGCTGCGCCCGAACGACGGGAACCATCCTAACTCGACCGCGAACACCACGATGAAGACCAAGGACAGCCAGAAATTCGGGATCGTCTGGCCGAGCAGGCCGAACCCGCGCGCCGCGCCATCCCAGCGGCCGCCCGCCTTGACGCCCGCCAAAATCCCGAGCGGTACTCCGACTGCGACCGCGAAGGCCATCGCCGCGATGCCAAGCTCGATCGTCGCTGGCATACGGTCGAAGATCACTTCTCGAACCGGAATCTTGTACCGAAGAGAATTACCGAAGTCGAGGCGGGCCGAATGGCCCACGAAGTCGACAAACTGTTCGGCAACAGTCTTGTCCAAGCCGTGGGCCTCTCGTGCCGCTTCTCTTTGCTCCTGGGTTGCCTCCCTGGGGAACGAGCAGGTTGGTCGGGTCCCCTGACACCCGCAGCATCGCAAAGACGATGACCATCACGCCGAGCACGAGCAGTAGCGACTGACCTATGCGCCCAACCAAGTACCTCGTCACCGGCTTTCCTCTCTGCTCGCTCTCCTTCCGTTAACTACCGGTGGGCCGAGGCGTAGTGCCTCGGCCCACCGATCGACCATTGGCTTACGAGCCGGCGTTTGTCAGCCAGCCACCGCTAGGTCCCAGAGCCAATATTCCTCGGCCGAGCGCGGCTTGTAGTTGGAGACTCGATCGCTGATTGCTTCGAACGAGAACGGCACGTAGAGATAGATGAATGGTGGGTCATCGTACATCCGCTGTTGCAGCTGTCGGTACAGATCCGCACGCTCGTCGTCATCGGGGGTCGCGAGTATCTGAACGAGGAAATAGTCAACCACGGGGTCAGACCATGCTGAGAAGCTTGCATCGTTGCCGCCCATGGCCCCCTGCAGGCGGTCCCATCCCTCAGGATTGGCGTTCGACCAGCTATCGCCGAATAGCGGCGGTAGCTGCTTATCCGCCTCCAGGTCCCAGTAGGCCCCGGACTCGACGATCTCGAGTGACGCGTTGACTCCTACGTCGCCGAGCTGGGCCGCGACGGCTTCGCACACCTGCTCGAAGTTGGTGTAGGCACCCGACGGGCACGCGAATCCAATGTCGAACCCATCGGCGAACCCGGCTTCGGCCAACAACTCCCGCGCCCGATCAGGGTCGTAGGGATACGGTACGAGGTCGGCGTTGAAACCGAAGTCGGCCCGCGTCATGATCCCGGTGGCTTGACTGCCCTTGCCGTTGAACAGAGCGCCGATGATGCCTTGGACGTCGACCGCATAGTTGAGGGCCTGGCGCACGAGGGGATCTTCGGTTGGTTCGCCCACACCAGATGTGAGGTTGTTGAACGCGATGTAGTACACCCGGTTGGTTGGGTACTCGATGACGTTGACCCCGTCGATGCCCTCTAGCGATGCGGCTTCGTCGGGGCTGAGGCGGCTCACGATGTCGACCTCGCCCGTCTGGATCGCTGAGGCCCGGGTGGAGGATTCGGTGATCGGCCGGAATACGAGCCGGTCAAGTGTGGGGAAGCCCTCACGCCAGTAGTTCGGGTTCCGGTCCAACACGATGCGGTCGCCCTGGACCCACTCGGTCAGCATGAACGGACCGGTGCCTATCGGCGCTTGGCCGAACCCCGTGAGCCCGACCTCAGTGTAGTATTCAGGAGGAACAAAGAACCATATACCAGCCGTGAGACCGAGGAGTAGTGCATTGGTTCCGGTGCGACGAGCTTCGACAGTGAATTCGTCGATCTTGTTAACCTCGGACGCTCGTTCGTAGTAGTTGAAGTACTGATTTTCCGGGGTCTTTTGTACCTCCCACGAGAATACTACGGAGTCCGCGTTGAACGGTTCGCCGTTATGGAACACCACATCCTCACGTAATTTGAAAGTGTACGTTAGACCGTCGTCAGATACTGTCCACGACTCGGCGAGAGCTGGCTCGAACTCCAAGTCGTCATTGATCCACACCAACGGATCGAATATCTGGTTGGCCACATTGCCTGCGTTGCGTTCGGCTGCGTTCGCGCCGTCGATCGCGTTGGGCTGCGTCGTGAGCGCGATGATCAACTCGCCGCCCCCGGCTGCGGGCTCGTCGGCTGCGGGCTCGTCGGCTGCGGGCTCGTCGGCTGCGGGCTCGTCGGCTGCGGGCTCGTCGGCTGCGGGCTCGTCGGCTGCGGGCTCGTCGGCTGCGGGCTCGTCGGCTGCGGGCTCGTCGGCTGCGGGCTCGTCGACTGCAGGCTCGTCGACTGCGGGCTCGTCGGCACCGCCGCCGCCATCGTCACCACAGGCCGCCGCGATCAAAGCGAACGCACCTAGCAGCAACCACAATGGCCTCATCTTGGATTTACGTAGATGTGTCACAGATTTCCTCCCTTAGGCAATTGCTATGCCTATATCTGCTATGCCTATATCTGGCCCCTTCTGCCGGGTTTCCCCCTCAAGGCTTGGGTGGCGAGACCATAACACAAACACAAGGCAGTCGAACAGCCTCGCCACGACAAGATTGGTCGCTTGTGGTTCGCTCAACGCTGTAACGTTACGACTACGACCCATGTCCACCTTCTACACGGGGAGAGTCGCCCCTCCGGGGGCCGCTCTCCCCAGTCACTTTCTGGGGCAGCAAACGCAAGCAAGGGGCCAGGGATCACGGTCGGCGCCAGACGTGGAGATGAAGAGCCCGGGTTCGGACACCTCGATCCGAACGTTGCCCGTGACGTCCATGTACCCGACGCCGAGACGCTCCAACAGCTCGCGTGAGCGGGCGACGGATAGGACGAAGCCACCACCGGGACCGCAGCCGGCGCAAGAGCTGTGACTGGGCCTCCCGCTCCCCCCACGCCCACAGATCGCCGCGGCCGGTGTTGCCATCTGCCTCGATCCATTCTGCGTGCACCGAGGCACCGCGCTGTCGCTCGGCTCCGTCGACGAGAGCGGGCTCCGCTGCGGCTATCACGGCTGGACCTACAACGGAGAGGGCCGCTGCACCAAGATCCCGTCCCGTCCGGATTTGCAGATCCCGTCGCGGGCCCGCCTAACCGCCTACCTGGCCGCCGAGCACCTCGGACTGGTGTGGGTGTGCCTCACGGGCGATCCTGTCTACCCGCTGCCGGAGAACCCCTACTTCGGACGAGTCGTTCCGGCTCGTCGAGGTCGAGCCCTACAACTGGAACTCTGCGCACTTCTCCCCCGCCGCGTCGAGAACTACGTTCGACTTCGTGCCACTTCGCCTGGGTGCACGATGGGCGTGCTCGCGACTCGGACCATCCCGAAGTGCCCGACCACTGCATCGGCCGCCACCGCAACGAGCTGCGCTTCGACCACCCGCACATGGCCGAGCCCCCCGACTCGGGCAAGAACAAGAGCCTGGAGATCGAAGGAGCCGTCGAAGTCACGCTCGACTACCGGCTGTTCATGTCCCAACACCATCCTGCTGGACCAGTACAAATCGAGTCGGTCGACCAGCGCTACCTGCTGTTCTTCAGCGTGTGCCCAACCGGTCGCAAGACCTGCCGGTGCTTCACGTTCATGGGACGCGACT